ACTTACCGATCTCTCCAACCCATCCATCAGTTCAGCCTTTCATCCACCAATACACCCGTTGACCTATCCACTCACCCGCCCATTCATCCATCCATCAATCTACCCTTCCACCTATCCACCTCATTCATCCTTCCACCAATCCACCCTCCATCCATCCTTCCACCTATCCACCTCATCCATCCTTCCACCAATCCTCTCTTCCTTCTCCCATCCATCTATCTTGCCCCTGTGTTCAGTCAGCCGTCACATGAACCTTCAGTGAGCCGTTGACCTTCCTGCTGATCACTGCGGTTCATTTCTCACACAGGAACGTAATTTCTATGTTGTAATTGTGTACTGAGCGAGTCCATTAGCACACTGATAACTTCCTTCTTGTCTCTATACACCCGGAGGCGAGTGGCGTGGAGGTGAGTGGCATGGAGTGGTGGGTGGGTTGGTGGGGTGGGTTGGTAGGGTGGGGTGGGTGGAAGTGATCGAGGTTGAGTGGAGTGGAGGGAATGACTAGACATCATCGTGTGTGTATGGAAGGACGATTGATTGATTTACTCTTTCCTTCCTTCCCTTCCTCTCTCCCTCCCTCCCTCCCTCCCTCCCTCTCACCATCTACTAGCTCACTCTCCCTCTCGCTATGAAACAGAACAATTCTCCACCCTCATTATTTTCTCTCACACCCTTCCCCTTCTCTTTTTCTTTCTCCTCCTCACCTTACATTCTCTTGATTATTCCTCATTCTCTCCTACCAACATTTCTCCTCCTCCTTTAAAGGTTGTAACACAGGAATTTCCCCCCCAAACTTCCTTAACACTCTTCTTTTTGCTAATTTATATATATATATATATATATATATATATATATATATATATATATATATATATATATATATATATATATATATATATATATATATATGTTTACATATAAACATTCAAATATATACATTTTCTCTGCACACTAACACCGTGTCTCTCCCTTGTTAAACGTAAAGCAACATTGGAATACGAGTGTAAAAAAAATATCAGCTTTTTGTATTCAATATACTTCATTTATTACTTCAACTCTGTTTCAAATCACACTGGAAAAGGTTGTTCATACAACTGCAAGAAAAATACGTGACCAGAGACTGAGATCATAGAATATAAAAAGAGAAACAACTTCATAGATCAAATGGTAAACCAAAACCAAAATAGAAATAGGACTTTTTTTTAGTTCAAACAGAGATTATTATTTTTGTATTTTTTTTTTACAACTTGTTACAAAAGTAAATATTATTCCGTGTTTCATCAGTGTCAGTTTTATCACTGGAAAGCGCTGGTAAAAGACTGCTTCATCTGGGGTTTATGTTATTTTTTTCCATTTCATGAAGTTATTATATACGACTCTGCTCGTACGTGTCCAGTTGTCCCTCATCGACTGGCCTAGACTGAGCATTGTGAAGATTGGTGTCGGCTCTTGTTAACACTACAAATATGTATTTTTTCCTCTCCGTGTAAATAGGACTTTTATATTCATTAAGTGTTTGTGTGGATAGGCAGTGATAGGCATTCTTAACAGTTACCAGTTCTAGAGATAATGAACTAGTCGTCACTGCTGTAGACACATTTCAGCTCTGTGTACTGTGTTAAATTTGTGTTTTTTGTGTTTCTCTGTTATTATTTCTTGAGTTGAGAAATTGTTTGAGTTTTCTCTTTTGAAGATTTGTACATGTCGTTCCTTTTGGGATTTTGTTAATGTTAAATGTGGTGTTTATTTGGATTTTATTAATTTGGTAATAAGGAGAATTACTTAATGTCGGACATGTAAAGAATTAGTTGCTGTTGTGTCTATTGGGATTTTGGTAATTAATGCTGTGTATGCTGAGAATTTCTAAATGAGTTACATGTTGAGAATTTGCTAATGTGGACTAATACTGTGAGGATAAGCTTTTGTTTAATGAATCATTCCTGGAAGAGCGAGGATAACTTGCTGAGGTGATCACTGGCTACCTGTCAACACGCGTTCAGAAACACCTGGGAATGTTTATCTATAATTCACTCATGATGGAGGAATTTCATTATATACCGTCGGCATGTAATATCAGAAATTTGAATAGAAATGAAACAGTGGACTTATGAATAAACATTGAGGATACTTGACCAGCAGTGTGCAGTAGAATAATCACAAGAGATTATTCATTTCATTAAATTTAAATGTGTGTCGGCCGGGCCCATGCCTAACTCGGTAATAGGAATTCAAACTACAGGTAATGACCATCTGGTGACCTGTTAGACACACTGAAAACTCCATGTTCCTTGTTAGCTACGGTAGTTAGCTCTGTGCCTCACTTTAGTAATGAACTCACAACCACTTAAGAGATTTTCTCCCTCTCCTCAGGCCTGACTACAGTTAAAGTTCCTTACCAGACCCCAGACTCGTGCGCTTCTCCTAGTCGTCACAGGTCGAGCTTTGTTGAATATAAATTACTACCGGCATATGAGTAATCAACAAAAGAATTAAAATTGCAACTGAATACTGATTTCTATCTTAATTAATGTAGCGCGGAATGTTGAAAAAAAAAAGGAGTTTTCAATACTGTACTTTACAGAGGATTATATACGAGTACATATGATATATACATAAAACTCTCTGTTGGTTCCCTTAGTTTTTGTTTTGAAGAATATATGGAGAGTCTAGATGCCTGCACTTATTGCGATCTCTCGTCTACATACGTTTATACACACACATTTAAGTATACACACAAGCAGTGAAGCAGACTCATAATGCCTTCTCATACATTGTCGCATATAAGATAATAGACAAAGATTCAAACACTCCAATCAACACCACGAGTATAACAATCTTTCTCACACACACGTTAATAAAAGCTGCTGCCTAAACTAGTACGAGCCTTATAATTGTTTCACTAATTGTATTTAACTTGAGTCCGATAATTTTCTTATAAATATTCCAAACATGATAATGACATCTGTTATGATATATGCAGTCCTGTTTTAAGTGTGTAATTATTAAGATATTTTTCATTAAATCTGCGAAGTTTACAGAAAAACAAAGGAATTTATTATCAATTCATAGTTACACCAGCTCACTCAACTTGTCCACTCATGTTCTGGCGATTCCTCATGACTGCATATATTTCACATCAAAACTTTTGTCTCTATTGTAGAAATATTTAATGGTGTATCTTGTATATTACTGAAGGTTTACATAATTCTTCCGTGAATCGATACCTTTACATATAGCAAAAGTGTACCTCAATAGCTGCTGTAGATGGGGGAATCGTGTATCATAATTCAGCAGTAAACTCACTCGTCTTCTCAAGCACATTACATTGTTTCGGTACTTTTACTTACCAACAGTGAATCGTGTTCTTAGCTTAAAGTCTGGAATTTAAGAGACAAACTCACTGCGACAAAAGGATTTAGAGCTTAGAGCAGGGGATCCAACACTAATTATGCAGGATTTTAGCATGTGAATATCTTATATCTCTGGGAATGGCACTGCTGTTTACTTACGCACGTTAAGAGTAATACATGTAAAATATGAGATACAACATATATATACAGAACATGGCTCGGGGTCTTGGTCCCTGAACACGAATTTGAATCCAGATGAACAGGAGTAAAATTTAATGCATCCTACGGGACATTATGCTGAGGAATTATGAAGTAGAGTGAAAGTGTCCAGTTAAATGTTGTCAATATTCTCACATAAGTGTACTCATCACCCATGACCTTCTGATGAGCATTACAGTGACTGGCAGGTGGTGAAATGTAATCCTGAATCAAGAGAATCACCGCCACCTGTTGTCTGGGTCACGGGGGACGATGTGAGGACTAACAGCGGCAGTGTCCATATTTTGGATCACGAGAGTGTAGGTCATGTAAGGTTAATAGGCAGCGATGACACTCCTCCTTGTGGCCTAGTAGAGGTCGTGTGAGGTCAACAAATGATGGTGAACAGTAATGGTAGTGGCAGGGGTCGGCCAGCGAGGTTAGCAGCCCCCTCATGTCCCCGCCCATGGCATCATCTTCAGCAGGGGGAGGCCAGACCAATGCAATTTGCTTTCAATAAAAAAATAACTGGAGACACTACGATCTATATATATAAAACACCTGGTAAACAGCTGTAACTCGTGAATCAAAGCTCTAAACACAGACTTTCTTCATTATACTGTATACGGTATATGTTCATATGTTCCCTCGTGTGACAAAGTTCAGAAGCTAACAGTCATGAGGAGTTACACAAGTTGTTACTAGTACAATACTGTATTGTATTGTACTCGAGGACACAATATAGAAAGTGTTTTACAAATTTATAATTTAATGTAAATGAACATACTGAAGTAAAAATATTGTTCAAATATATATATATATATATATATATATGTCTAAGTTTAGAGAATTACTAAATTCTGTAATATTCGCTGACTGGTCATCATCAGACCTGTTATATATATAGACAGTCAGTATGTTTTTCCACGTGTTTTTCCCAGATATAGAGATCGTGAAAACTTTATAGTGTTGTTATCAGTAAACACTCACTACTCAGCCACTACCTTTGCCTTTACTCGATACAATAATTATTACGTTTACACTTGTTTATTCAGCAAGACGTCTGTTATCGCTAGCGTGTCCTTGTGTGATTTTTAATATTTTCGCTGATGTGTTTGGTTTATATTCTCTCAGGTATTCTAAGTTTATCACCTTATGACTTCCTCTTTTCTACACGATAACTTTTTAAAACTGTCCAGCAACAAACACCACTGTTTATTCTCTTTCTGTATTTACCTGCACCTCGTATAAACTCACTCCGCTTTTACCACGATATACAGCCATATAGTACGGTCAACATTCCTCACAAATACATATGTTTAAGAACAGTCCGAGACAGTTAATGCAGTTCATCATGTCCTTGGATACGTCTGGTCAATATAACTTGAATCAGTCCATTTGTCATCATTAAACTGTGTTGGTCTAAGGAGAGTTTCAATGTTATACAGAAAGTGAAGCAAGGTTGATTTTTCGAGGCGCCTCTCTATACAGTATCAGAAAAACACCAATGCTTGAATGAAGATGCCGGGACTGATAGAGATCTGGAAGCCGCCCTCCGCCTCGTAAACTTGCTGACACAGTTTGTTGCCGAAGAGTGACGTGGCCGGGTCTGACACCTGCAGCGTGAAGATGTAGGTGACGGACTCTCTAAGGTGTACAGGATTCTTGAAAGCGAGGTTGGTGCCGTTGCCCTCAACACTTGCCAGGATGGTTGTCGACTTAGGATCTTCTTTACGGATCTCCAGCTGAAATGGCGCACTGAATTATTTGTCAGGTAAAATAAATAGTTGCGTCAGGTCAACATAATTAGTTACGTCAGATAAACATAATAAGTTGCGTCAGATAACATAATTAGTTGCGTCAGGTAAATATAATTAATTGTGTCAGGTAAAAGGTAATTAGTTGCGTCAGATAAACATAATTAATTGTGTCATTTTAAAGATAATTATAAAAGCGGAGAGATTAATTAAAAGACAGATAAATCAGAAGAAAGAAAATGATCAGAAAGGCTGTATGAGGTGAGTGATGACTGTAATTATCTACGTTCTAACCAAAATTTTAAATACACTTCAGTTGAATATAATAATATTAGTTTTTAAGCTTTTAAGAACAATGTTATGAAGACTTCCTTTAGTTGAATATAATAATAATAGTTTTTAAGCTTTTAAGGACAATGTTATGAAGACTTCCTTTATCATTATTGTTCATCAGTCTCAGTTAGCCTACATGAAGAACAATGAGAGCTATTGACGTGTTGTTCTTAATTAGTTCTCAAAGAACTTCCTGTGTGTGATCAAAGGGAGGATTATACGTGAATAAGTATTGGTGTTGGTAATTAGTTGACACAATAAGCTTATGGAGGATTCTAACTTTCAACAGAGACTTAATTAGTATTATCTGAGACAACACAAAAATATATATAATGGTCGTGGAGCCTGGCAGTCTGTGTCACCAAGGTGTTCCCCAGCCTCCCTCCCTCCCTCCTCACAGTTAGGTGTTATATATGTTGCAATAAAGTTGTTTCTTTTAGGTTAGGTTAAGTTTTGTTTGGTTAGATTAGGTTAAACTAGGTTAAGTTAGGTGAGGTCAGGTTAGGTCCAAATGTAAATTAGTGGATTTTTAATATAGCTAATTGGCTAGAAATTTGTAATCTTTTCTGAAATGACTGGTTACTTAGCTTGACTGTGTATGACATATATATATTTCACAATAAAGCCTTTCACCTGCTCTTGCCTTATAAAATGTAGGTTAAGTATAAACAAGCTTCCTCAGTAAAGTCAAGTGAGTGATTTGCTCTTAACTCAAAGTATGATTTTATTTTGGCCCGGTGGGGGGAGGGGCTCAAGTTCAGAATGTGATTATGTTGTAGGTTATTTGCTGATTATTTTCTTTCCGAAAAGTTCCTCTGATTAGGTCTTATCTTATACCTGTTCACCCAACATGTGAAAAATGATGCAAGTTACACAGAATTACTGGATGTGTATCTTGGTTTGTTTACATCTTTCTGCTCTGATAAGTCGCCGCCAAGTCAACCTTTGAAGACTAGGTTAATGTTTCATTAGGACCATGATTTAACCTTTTAAAGACTATGCTCAAACCCTTTGGTGAAGATAGTCTAACCCTTTAAGGACGATAGTTTAACCCTTTGAAGAGGATGGTCTAGCCCTATCGACTTCAAAGGGTTAATACAATCTGATAAACGTCGACAAACATACCCATACAGTCCTTCTCTGCTCCTTTGTTTACTTTCTGGGTGAGGGAGGCGTTCTATCCACACATGATGCCATAATTGTAGAGTGACTATCATTTCTACATCGCAACTATCTACGTCACTGGGTCTGGGAGGTTGTTCCTGAGTCCATAGCTAATAATATCCTATGATTTCTCTTGGTATAATAAAGCAGCATGAGGGGTCACTATTTTACTTTAATCGGATGTAAATTTCAACAATGATCTTTGGTAAATATCAGAATGTTATCAGTGTCGCTGTTACTCAAGGGCTGCTCCTCTACCTAGATAATTATCAACCTTATGGTATCTCCCTCTCAAATATATTCCTCTCACCTTAACATACACACCTGCAATTAGCATCTTCCTGTCGTTTTAGGTATCTATCTCTCTATCACCTATGAAAACCTTCTCACGTATGCATAATTATCCCATACCTCCCCATCTCGGTCACATCTTAACACCTACCCAACTTTTGACATGTATTTAGACATATCTACCCCACTCAGATATCTCTTTCTTACCTAGACATTTAACTCCCATTCAGACACCCAACCTCACCTTGACATCCTGCGTCCCACCTTCCAGCTGCACCCTGACTGCCAGGAGGACGATGTTGTCCGAAGGAATGAGACTGAACAGATAAATGGGTTCCCGGTGCCACGTCTTGTTCACACCCTCACACAGGCAGGTCCTCATCTGTTCCTGCGGGAGGAGATACAAGGATATGAGGCTTCGGAGAGAGAGGTCCTATCGATCATCAACTCTTTTCATTAACGATCTACTACCACAAAAGACAATGACTATCAAACTTGTTACCTTAACCTCCTTTAATTAACATCAGGTGCATTATCAGGTGCATTATCAAGATAGCTACATCATAAAAGTCTCAGAGTCTCCAGTATTATCAATCTAGTACAGTTTATGCCTTTAACATTTCTCGCTACGTAAACTAATCCAATTGCCATTTTACCCCACCGTTTACATGGCTATATATTTCTCCCTCATAAGTCTCGACACGGCATCTACTTTGTCACAGAACCGTTCAGTATATACCAAGTCTGTCGTGTCCCTAGAGAAATATATTGCCAGTTCATGATACACTTACTGTCCTCTGCCTTGTGAAACTAACTCTTTACTTATCCTGTGGAACGAAAGCAGTGAGTAACATACAGGTTTATAACGTCAAACATACAGCAATGTGTACAGTATATCTTATCTCATTATACATACAGTAATATGTATATTTTATCTCGTCTAACATAGAATTGCCCATATTCCAATTTAAGATTACTTATCTCGCTTTTATCTTTGTTCCAAATAAATAAGTTTGTTAGCTGTCATTTATATTACACTTGTATTGCAAGTTTAGCTGCGTCACTTTTAGCACCACACCAAAATAGATATGTCTGTATTAGCTGCATAAGTACGTTTACTTACATAATTTTTAGCTTTATATGAAAATGAATATGTATGTTTTAGCTGTGTTGTTCGTTTAGCTGCCGCACATTTAGCTCTGCACCAAAATAGATCCGTATGTTTTAGCTGTGCACAAAAATAATTAAAAATATAGACACTATTGTTTTGTTTGGCTCTTCTCGTGTATATACGTAATACTTCATTCATATCCAATCAAGAGTAAATATTTATAGATGTGAATTGACAGAAAAATATAGTTTATAGAATATATATATATATACTCTCTCTCTCTCTCTCTCATTTTGGGTAGCGGGTATACAGGTGGTCGCTCATGGCTGTCAGGTGAATGGCTGTGGTTACCTGGTAAAAGCCCTCATTACATCATAGCTCGTCCTGCTCGTGCAATTTTCACGCTGGGTCAAACAACACTCATCGTTCATCATGCAGAAGGTACACTGTTGAATAAGAGGGGAGGTACTAAGGAGGAGAGAGAAAGAGGAGGGAAGAATTGGCAAGGGATGGTAAGAATAAAGGAGGAAGGAGAAAACAAGATGGGGGGAAAGAGAAGGAAAGTGAAAGTTGGGAAGTGAGGAGGTAGATAGAATTAACGAGTGAAAGTGAGGGTCGACGGGGGAAGGGGGGGAGGAGGGATAGGATAATGAGAAAATAAGGGAATAAAATGTAAGACAGAATTGGAAAGAGATGAAAAGAGGAGACGAAGAGAGGTGAGAGATATAGCACAGGTAAATATCACTTTATTTGTCCTCCGTGTCGCTACCACGTGGTCACCCAATAGCTCTGCCCATAACTGTGTGACGTCAATGACCAACTGTGCTATGGAAAGTGAAGGAATTAAAAGGAGCGGGAAAGAGTAAACAAAAGGAAAAGATAAGAGAAAAGAGCAAGGGTGAAATAGGATAATGAAAATACAGGAAGAAAAGAAGGGAGAGAGAGAGAGAGAGAGAGAGAGAGAGAGAGAGAGAGAGAGAGAGAGAGAGAGAGAGAGACAGAGTGTAAGAATGAGAATGAGTGCAAGAAAAAAATATACACAATGAACACAGAATATTTATGAAAGTATAACGTGAGATCGAGACAAATTACTCCTAATTACTCATAAATAACTGACTTTCTCCAGCCAGTATGATAGAATTACACAAACAAACCATCTCCTTCCTAGCTGACACTACAGTTTATTATGTACTGCTGACGTCTCTTGCTAATTTTCTGACATTTTTGTTCTTATGGAGGAAATCTATAGGTTTCACCCTGATACATCTTACCCCCATTATAACTTAGATGTGGTCTGGTTTATCTATGTTAATTCACATAACACATCATGGTCTTTATTCCCACAAAGTCTTAATGAATTGCTACATGTATTAATCTCTATGGATATTTTATGTTTTGTGTTGAGATCTAATTCATCCCAGATTATTACACTTTGTTCAGTTATCTAGATGTTTGTTCTTAACTAACTAATGAATATTATGAGAAAAATTTTGGCCACAAATATGTTAATGATGATAACAGTATCATGTTAGTTAGGTAGTTCTCTCTGTCTGTCTGTCTGTCTGTCTGTCTGTCTGTCTATTTGTCTGTCTGTCTGTTTGTCTGTCTGTCTGTCTGTCTGTCTGTCTATCTGTCTATTTGTCTGTCTGTCTGTCTGTCTGTCTGTCTTTCTGTCTGTCTGTCTGTCTCTGTCTGTCTGTCTGTTTGTCTGTCTGTCTGTCTGTCTGTCTCTTTCTCTTTCTCTCAATCCTGTTTATAAATCCCAGCAATTTCATGGCGTCCTCCTGAGTGCTCATGGCCAAGTCGTGGCTGTGATATTTTCAACATAATCAGCATCATCAGCTCTCAGAATACCCCGGACCCCCCAAAAGCGACTCTCCAAATTTCAGAAAGTTGTATTTTCCGCAGAATTCATTCCAGTTTCATGCGAACGTTAATACACTTCGAAGGATTACCGATGCATTATTAATATCGAACTCATTACTCAGTGAATTTCGGTAAAATCATTTAATACTTACTGACAAAATAATATACGTAATTATATCTAAACTTTACCGGCATTCACTAAAGGTGTCCACTGTTATATTATTTATTAGATTGGGTTTAGGATGAGGCGAGGGTAATACACATGGTGTTTCATGATTGCCGTGTTAATGTTGTGTTTAGGACTTGGCTAGAGTGAGAACAATTTATTGTGTTTCATGAATTACTCTGTTGGCATGTGTCTCTGGACGTTGGTGTATTAATAATGGTGGTAATACTTAGAAGATAAATATTACATAAGTAAATGAATAAGTGGCACTGGAATAAAAAACAGCAGTAGGAACATCAGCAGTATTCATTATACCACCAGCAACAGGAGTAGAGACGGTGGATGTTACCTTAGTAACTCGGACTTCAAATGGGACTGGCGTTGGTACTCACCTGTGATACCAAAACCCTCACCTTGGTAATGGGGGAGGCTCGGCTTTCCCTACTAGTGTTGATCTGGAGCGACGTGTTTAGGTAAGAGGAGGCGGGGCTGCTCTTTGGGTTGGCGATATGCTTCAGCACGAAGACACTCTCATCTGACGACAGCACGTCCGTCGTGAGGACGTTCTGCACAAACTCGTCGGAGGTCATAGTTAAAAAGCGGATCAGCGGCAGGAACTGACTGATCTCTTGACGAATTCCCAATGGAGTGGAGGTCTTCCCACTAAGCTTCAGTTGAGCGTGACCCCTGCGGGTGTAAGAAACACATTGTTTTTAGTGTGTGTGTGTGTGTGTGTGTGTGATGGTCAGCATGTTCTTCTCGTAAGTAAGTGGCTCCTGGTTCGATACCGGGGCAGGGTGTAAGTATGGCCAAGTTTATTTACCCCATTTCCTCTGTCTACCCAGCATTAATTGGGAACTTGGATGTTAATCGATTTGCGGGTCTTGTTCCGGGGTAATGGTTAGTCAGTGAAGTTTGTAAACTAACTTGTATCAGGCTTTTTTTTATGCCTTCATTACTACTGTAGTGTTTATATGTTTTCGTCATTGTTGTTTATGGGCCTACAATGGTACCTGAAAAATGGACATTAAGAAATCTTTAGTGGGTTTTGAGCATTATTTAAATTTTTCGTTGAGTAATGTAATTTAAAGTTTTTAGGAACTTTCAGCGTTGAAAGTCGTTGGTAGCCGCAATATGCTCGAGGAATAATAATTTTGAAATGTTATTGATATATTTTCATCATGGCAGCCTTTTCAAAACACTTTACATTTACTAGAATTGATTTTACTTGTTCATTGAATCGCTTTATCTAACACTGATTTTTTTTTTTGCAGGTTGAGACATCAGTACAAGGTAAGTACACATTGTATCAGTTTGCATCTTCTGGGTCTTTATTTCAATGAGAAGTGTGAGAAAATGCATTAAAATTCCAACTAACCTCGCCATCACAGTCATATAAACAGAGCGAAAGATAATAAAAACTCGAGACGGACTGAAATCAATCCATCCCATCCGGTCACACTCCACTCCTTACCACTTCAACAAGGCCTTGAAGATGACAGTCTCGGAAGTAATTTTCAGGGGTTCCTTTAGGAGATGGGACATGGCCTCTGGGGTGAGATCCAGCAGCGCAGGCGACAACAGCACCGCGTTACCGTTGTCCTTGAATACCTGTCAGAACACCTTGATATTAAAGAACATCTCTTAGATATTAATACTAGATATATTATGCTCACATGTGCTTATATATAAAATATTTCATGGTCTGACTATATTAAGGAACACCTCCTGTTAGCACTAGTAAGGAGTAGCGATAACGTAAAGAGATAGTCAAAACTTCGTCTTCACTATCTTGTTAATCAAGTTCCTTTTTGTAGCGAAATTTCCTCGCCTTTTACACGTAAATTATTTTTTGTCACCTACAACAACAGATGTACTGTACGTAGGGAAGTATTAAGTGCTGACCTAAGGAATCAAGAGTTGCCTCACTACACACCCCAGGAACCTTCACTACTACCAAGCTCCTCAGATCAATTGTGTCATCTTTGGAGTTTATCTCTATCTCATCATGTTTTGCGGAGTTCTGGCCTATTTTCCCATCTAATACCATTCATCTTCCCGGGACAAAACACAACCACATTTCATCCCAAGGAAATGTCTTTTTTCCCTCGTGTGGAAATGACAGTTGAACAAAAAATCTCTCCCTGAATTTTCATAAATAATTTTATCAACCATACATCCCCTGGCGGGCCCTAAAAGCCCTGTCAGTGGATCTTATGGATTTTAAATGAGACTTGCATACTCTTTTTTGTTTCCATCACCCTCTTTCGCTTTCTATTTCCCTCTCTCTGTTTATCTTTCCATTCCCTCTCGGTTTTCTCTCTATTTATCTCTCTCTGTCTCTTGCCTTTCCCTCTGCCTCTCCCACTCGACTGGTATCGTTTATTTAGGTTAAGGGAGACTTTCAAGATATATCTTAACCTCCCTTGATTGTCACTGGTTGGAGTGCTGTGTATAGAAGTGTGTGTGTGCGTGTGTGTGTGTGTGTGTGTGTGTGTGTGTGTGTGAAGGCGCTAGATTAGAGTAAGTTACTAGCAATACTAGTGATATTAGTAGCACAGTTTATTTGTAAGTAATTGCAATCATAGCAATTATTGTAATACTAATAAACATGATGACAAAATTCATCGTTCGGGCAACAAGAATAGTAGGTGGAGGAGGAGGAGGAGTTCAAACAATCGAACAGAAAACACGAACACGGGATACTGCTGGCTGGGAGTGTTAAAAGCAGGCAGCAGTAGCAGGACCAGCAGGAGCGGTACCTGGTGGTTGTGGCGATAATAGTAGTAGCCACAGAAGGAACAGCAATAACGGCGGCTGTTGTGGCATCACCAATAGCAAACGGGAAATAGAACAAATAACAATAGTAGTAGACCAGAGCGTGAACGTTGTTTTCTGAGACTATTGGACGCTGACGACCGCAGGTGGGGCGCTTCCTGAGGACTCCTACACTGCCACCAACAGAATCCAGGGGTTTATTGCTCTCTCTCTCTCTCAGGATTATGTCTTACAGTTTTAAGCTTAAGTTAAATGAATATTGTTATTTGAAGGAAGTAGTTTTGTCTTAAATCATATACAGTATATTTAGTTATTCATCAATTCATAAATTAGTTTATATGCTTGTGCTCATTTATTTATGGTTATATTACTTGAATATTAATTGTAATTTTTGTATTTATTTTATATTTATTCATCCAATTATATCAGTAAAGGAATAAGGGAATCGGTAATTAATTTGACACCTGTATCAGAGGACCAATTACTCTAATTACTGGTTTGGCAATAGAACACAATATAACTGGGAGAGTAATTAAAGGTCGAAAAGCAGTATTTGGTATCACATGTCGATGGTGTACCGGGATATATTTATGGCAGTCGACATTAATGTTGTGATCCCCAAATGTTTATGTGAGAGAGGAATGTTGAGTAAACTATATGGCCTTCACATCATTAGTGGGAATTTTAAGTCTTATTGAGCTAAAGGAAAAAGCCATTTTATACAATATATAATATGATTATCCATTAGTCTCCCGACCATGTTTGTCTATCACTGTCAGTCCTCGTGGAGGGAACGCCTGACTTAGGTATAAATAAACAAGCCGCGGGGTACAACATTGAAAGCAGGATATTTGGCGTCTGGGACCGCAATGGTCGTCATATTTCGGGGAAAACAACGACCTCGACCTGCGGAAACGGAAATCAATAAGGAAGCAGGAATTGACAAAGCCACTAAAAGCAGGGCAAGGTTGGGAGGGGGGCAAGGCTGGGAGGGCAAGGCTGGAAGGGGCAAGACTGGGAGGGGGCAAGGCTGGGATTTTGGAATGCTTCGTCTGGATTAAAGATGAAGACGTTGCTGTAGCGGCGACTGCTGGCGTTCCCTCTGTGTTAGTTTGTGTGTGAACGACGGCCTGTGTATGTGTACATGTAAATGCCGTAGACAAACATACACGAACAATAACTAACGTACACACACACACACACACACACACACAGCACTCTCCTTCAGGACACGAGTATAAAACAAACTAATTCCCAATTTCATTCGAATTTATGTACTGTATTTTAGAGTCATAATAATTAAGGAGTAAATAGTGTCCCATTGTTCTCACCAGTGTTAAGGTCGTGTTTGTTGTATCATGTGTCAAAAAAAGTGAAAACAATGAACACTATTGAACTTACCCGAAAACTTCCAGAATTGAACATAGCACATTAGCGGGGTCTGTCTCTGTCCAGTAAATTCTTTCACAGTCAGAGCTCGGATGATCTACACTCAGTCGTGTATCACCGTGAACCCTTAGTTGGCCTACGAGGTGCCCATGTCATTGGTGTTAATATTTTATCGCTCAGAACATCTACACTAAGACGCTTTTATGCCCCAGGTTATCAGTGTGTGACGCTCCCTGCCACAGTTTTCCCACATCATATATCCTCCAACAGCTCCAAAGCTTCCTGCTTCAAATATCTTCAGTATTTGGCAAAAGTTTTCTTTAGTGAATAAATATGATAATGGCACTTGATTCTTTATTATAGAGAACTGAAAGAAATAAGAATGCTCGTATGTCATTTTGTAAATTATTATAGGAACGCACTGAGCAAAGTTAAGTATTTAGCATTTACGGCGATCATTTTTCTCTCGTCTACACTAAACATTTGCATAGTTGACACAACTTAATTATTTTCAGAAGATATCTTAACCACTGGAGTAAACACGGTGACCAACACCAGTGTAAGAGAAACATTGTATTCAAATTCATTACCCAGAAAACCTATTTTATGTTATTGTTATTTACGTGTTACAAATGACTGGTAATATTTGATTGGTTATTCAGGTGTTCATTTATATTTGCAGCACTGTGAAGTTGATCTTGTTAAATTGTTTTAAAATTATTATATAAAATATCTCCGGTCAGAGGGTCATTTGACTCTAGTCCAATAATCCCGTGATGTTCATATACGCGATAGCCAATTAATTTTAATCGGTTCTGACATTCGCTTCACCTTGCTATTTTAATCACAATCCAAATTAACAATACTGAAGTTTCTATCGGATTGTTTGGTTATATTTGCTTCTGTTAAACGAGGTTAGTTACAGCGACCACCATAGTACGTCCTGTTAGCTCACATGGTACAGCACTATATACAAATATTTCTCTTTAATCATCCTGTTTGTAGTGAAGTATTTATCCATCTACCTGTTGTTCCATTATACTTTATTGTCTATGTGTTTGTCTGTCAGTCGTTTTTATTAGAAACTGACACAATGGAATATTTGTAATGTCTCTGGACGTGGAAATTTTATCACGGTTTTATTCAGTAAGTGAGTCCCGGTGCTACTGTGAGTCGTGTAATCTGTAGTGTTATTTAGACAGTGTTAATTTATTAAGTATCTGCAGTGGGTATTTCAGTTAGTGATATATATTTCACTAAATAATAATAATAATAATAATAATAATAATAATAATAATAATAATAATAATAATAATAACAATAATAATAATAGTAAAATTTTAAATACATCAATGATAATAATAATAAATCATAAAAACAGAAAATAACAAGTCGAAAAATTATAATTGATAAACAAGATAAGGATAATTTTGTCTTCTAATTTCACATATACAGCAAGAGGGTTTATGCACAACTTTTGAAGCGATACCAGGAGTCTAAAGCGGCTTCATTTACATTACACCAGCTTCCCTTCCGCCTTGTGTTGGTGGTGTATATATATAACCCCTCTCCCCCCTCCCCTCCCCTCTCCCCTACCCCCACTAGTATTTTATCCCAGACACCATGAAAACATCCATCATGCTCCCCTTCCCCCCACTAATCCCTTTGCGCCATTAGTCATAACAAAACTTGTATTTGAAACTCCTCCTCTGCGGCTCATAACAGATTGTTGGGCCCGTGTGTGTGTGTTTGTGTGTGTGTGTGTGTGTGTGTGTGTGTGTGTGTGTGTGTGTGTGTGTGTCCACCATGTAAACTTTCCTCACTATATTCAGTGGTGTTTTTTGTCGCCTCTCTCTCCCTTTTAGCTAAACCTTCTTTCCTATTCCCTGTTGGATCCTTCCCCACCTAAATGGTCCTTACCCTCTTGCAAAGGCTCTGCAGGGAGTCGTTATCGGCGAACAGATGGACCAGGTACTTGTAAATCTTGAGTACATTGTTGCGTTTCACTACAGTTTGGAGATACTGAAAAGAAATCGACCCAGATGGGTGTTATTTTCATATCTGTAGAATGTTATTGTTTTTGTTTTTTGTTCTCTGCTAGTAAAGGGATTTCTATGGTTTCCTTAGACTGTGATAAGATATTGTGACTTTCTTTATAGATGTTTCATTACTTACATATAAAAAAACTGGAGGAATTTGTGAGTGACATCTGTAATGGTAATCGTATATGTTAGCTGCGGCAGGTTGACTTAAGAATCTATGCTAGACTTACTGTGCAGAAAAGCTGTTCTCTCTCTGAAGAAAACTCCTGTCAAACTTGATGTTATTCAACGACTTGAAGAATTTCATCTTAGCTATAATATCATGATCATCAATAAGAATAATTAGACATTTAAGTTTTCATGTAACTATAGTAAGTATGTTAACACACATTATATAAAACAGCATTATATTGGTTTCCGTTACGTTATCAGATACCAGCAAGGAAATTTGTCCTGCAATAAACTTACAAGATGAAGTAACATCTCAGATCAGTAAATTAACGTACGAACAACCAAACAGCCCAATAAAGCCGTGAACTGCCTCATTATTTAAACAACTAAGTAAACCTTTATCTCTGCACGACCTTTTACATGCTAATTCTGCCATCGTGGCTTGTGGTAAAACACCCCCCCCCCCCGCTGCCTATACTATAGTAGGAACAATTTGTCGGGTCTTCTCCGTTAATGGCTTCATGCTGCGTTGTGATTAAGAAAGCTTGCGTGAGGGCGGAGCAGTGATTGTCCCTCACTAAAGGTTTACACAGCGTAATTTGTGGGGTCCTTACTCAGGCTAATTGAGCTGTAGACTTCACCTCACCCTGGGTAGAATTTTTAAGCCTTACTCACCTTAATGGAGGTGTCGTATGCACTGGCCACCATGTATTTGTCAGACAAGCTGTGGAAGATAGAAGAAGAACGTGAGAGCGTGTGAGAGAGAGAGAGAGGGAGAAGAGAATACAGTTGTAATCAGTTTTCAGAGGGAGAGAGAGAGAGAGTAATCAAGTTTCAGGAGAGAGAAAAAAAACAAATGAAATTGAGAAAGAGAAAAACTAGAGAGAGGGAGATAGAAGGATAATCACAGTCGATTTTGGGGCGCGTAAATTTGACTTGAGTGAAGAGAAGAGAATAATGATCTCCCACAACAGCTACACAACCAGCTCCAGTAGCGCTTCCGGGATTCAATATTCTATATTTTACTTCTGCCTCTCTCTTTATAAAAAGTTATAATTGCACTCTAACTTCAAAGGAAGTGGAATTAGCATAAAACACGTCCACACCCGCTGCACCGACAAACTCCTCACAAACTTTTCAAGCGTTTAATTAAAGGACCTGAGTTAAATGTGTCATTCCTTAGGCATGTCTGCTGATCGTCCGTATGTCTGAGAGATGACTACAGGAAACGGCTCAAGATTTGAAATTTTGTTTTATTTAACTTTCTGGCATTTTCCTTTTTGAGTAGAATTCGAATTATTAAAATTTGTCTTGGTAAAATTAGAGCCACAACAATGCCAGTGGTTAAAAGTTATTTTATATTTATTTTAAATAATGTGTGCATGAATTTTATCAGGCAATCTTTTATATTTTTACTTCAATATTGCCCAAAGAATTTTGATGGAAGCAAGAAGTAATTATCTTGTAAGTCTTGTGAAGATTCCTCAGGCCTGACGCTTTTCCTTCAGGTTTAGAGGAAAAGTTTCGAGGCATAAACCCGCGGGCCAAGTTTTAACGTGGTGTTTGGGAGATGAATCAGCCTGACGGACATTATCATGTACCGTCCTCCTCTCCCACACCAATTATACTTAATTGCTCAAATTCTTAATCGTGCGTGCTGTTACAGCCTGCTGGCCTTAAGTGTCGCTAACAACTTTGTGGAATGTCCAATAATGTTGCTGTTACTGAGGGTTACGACCACATATGTGTTACCACCTTTAAAAGATAAGATAGTCTTTGAGTACTTATTATAGAGTTAAAAACCTGGTGTTTAGCGTTATCTCCTGCTGTATGTGTGTGTGTGTGTGTAATAATAATAATAATAATAATAATAATAAACGGTTTATTAATAGAGTTGCAGCCGGTGGCTGAAAATATACAGACTTACATTTGATTTAGACATAATGATATAATATGCATTGAATACATTTACAGGGCTGTACAGTACATAAATCAGGAGTTGTTTATGTGTGTGTGTGTGTGTGTGTATGTGTGTGTGTGTATGTGTGTGTGTGTGTGTGTGTGTAGGTTACACATAAAAGTCTTGCTGATTTCACAGAACGGTAGTCTAATTACTGAAAACATTGTGAATCAAAGCCTATATGTACAAAATATCTTTTGGCAAATAATTTACAATGATCCATTGGCGGATACTCAACAAAGCTTGTCCAGCACTTCCCCTACCTCAGAATCTGCAGCGCCAGGTCAATGCCATCAATCTCGTGCTTGTCGGAGTAGATATGGCTGAGAAGCCAGTGGAATGCCCAGGGAGAGTCGTCCTTGAGGGGCAGCACGCCTCTTTTGCTGGCCGGGTTGAGGAGGAGCAGGTCCTCAAACACCGGACTCCTCATAGCCAAGATCAGACTGTGGGCCTGAGGAGGATACCTGTCAGGTGATCATGTGTGTATGTGAAAGAAACACACACACACACACACACACACACACACACACGCACGCAAACACACACACAGACACACACACCTGCCTACCTCCTCTTAGAGTCTCTTGCATGTGAAACTTTTGATCTATATTTTATCATTATCCTTAAAACTCCATGGTGATTTTTTCCCCAGCCCAAGTTTAATATTCATATAACAGGTTAAGCATCTTTCTCTCGCTCAAAAAGTTGAATGGAATTTTAAATCAATCCCTGTTTAATTTCTACCAGAGCACATAAGCCCAAACAAACACGGGGGAAGATTATGCTTGCATTATCCGATTTTTGCCACTCGCCCAGCAGAGAAAATATTGACCCTTATGATAGCAACCGGCAAGGCCAAAAATTTCTTGTTTTTAATACGCAAATCTTGAAGAAAAAATAATAAGTGCGTCTTTCATAGTTTTTGGTGCAACTTAAATCGGTGTTTACAAATTTGGAAATGTCGTCTGCCTGTAATTCTGGAATTTGAGTTTAACTTGTTGGTTAAGTGACTCTGATAATGTAATATATTTTTGTTTTTTCAGGAATTTTATTATTAAGTTTTGTTTCTCTTCATGAGTTCAGTTTCCTTTGATGTTAATGTTTTGATCACCTGATGGTCTGACATATATAGCATGAACGTTTAATTAGTTAAAGACGGTATTTAAACCGTTTGAGGACGAGGGTTTAATCGGGTTAAAGTTTAATACATTTAGGATGATGTTTTAACTATTGTTGGACAATATGTCAGCAGTGAGGAAAATGGTTTAACGGGATGATAATTGAACACCTTTAGGATGATTAATTAATTTCTTAAGGACGATGGTTCAATTCTCTAAGAACATTGGTTTAACAGGATGATGGTTTAACACCTTTAGGATGATTACTGATTTACTTAAGGCTAATGGTTTAATCTTTTGATGGCGATAGTTTAAACCTTCGTTATCAATTGGTTAACGACAGTCACCAGTAGTAACTTTAACCTTTGAATTAATATATCATAAGCATTATATCAACATTTGTTTATAGTAATGAAAACTGTAAATATTCCCTCGTCGCTAATCTCCCCTGGGTAACACGTATTTATTTACCAATGACACTGTTGGTAATATTCTGACAACACAATACCTTCATAACTCTACCTGGTCCTTGTTGGCAGTCTTTATTAAACCTGTACGGTCTTTACATCGTTCTTAGTATCATGTCTTAGAAAAACTTGGTGCGTGAGGAACAATACGACAAGAGTGAGATCTACGTTACAATATTGTTTTGTATAGGTAGACACACAGGCATAACACACACAGCCCAAAAAAAGGAATATGTGTCAAAGGATGAGGGAAAATATACGGAAAAGAGAGACACGGGTGAGAATGTAGCACAAATAATAACGATACAATGTGAACAGAACAAGCGAGGTCATCTGGCTTTTGTGACGTATGAGTTACAAACGTCAGACGAGGAGTAGGTTAGGTATATGCTTTAAGTGTCTTGCCTGATGATATAAGATGCTCTCTCTCTCTCTCTCTGGTCACTTACGTTTTTAAATTAGTGGTGGTGGACATTATATCACAGTGGTGGCGATTACCTTCTAAAATTTTGTATACTGTGTATATATATATATATATATATATATATATATATATATATATATATATATATATATATATATATATACACACATACAATGTGTGTGTGTGTGTGTGTGTGTGTGTGTGTGTAATCATCATTACATTCCCTTTTCATCTCCCCCTCGTCGATATCCTTTTATATCTTGCTGCGATTATTGCCTCCCACCAATTCCCGCTTCGTCACCACACACACACACACACACACGCATCCCTCTCTCTCGCCCTTCCCCTTCCCCTCTCCCTTCCTCCAAATCCCATTTTCGTCTATCTCCCCTTCCTCTCTCCCGTTTCCACTTATCTCCAGAGCAAAATTCTCATTAATTTCTTTTCAACAGCCTTCCTCCTAATCCCTCATCTATCATGTTCTCACTTTTTTCTTCCCCCCTCACACCAAGATCCTCCTCACGCTTTTTCCCGCCTCGCCTCCCTCACTCCCGCCTTTTCTCTTATAAGTTTTTCTCTTGCTCGTTATCTTTTTTTAGTTCCCTGTTTCTCTTTTAAATTTTTTTTTTTTTGTGCTTTTATTATTATCAACCATATTTTACTCTCTCTCTCATTGTCTGTCTGCCTGTCTGTCTGTCTTTTAAAAAAAATATGACATTAATCAGAATTAAATTAACCTTATATAATTGGGATGAAAAGGCTTATAGACATACCTTTTAGTACATCATTATTAAAGCGACCTGATATATATATACAGTATATATATATATATATATATATATATATATATATATATATATATATATATATATATATATAGACAGTATATATAAATATCCTAATTATGTAAATGGTATTATAAAATATTAACCCATCAATTATATCATTATTCATGCTTCACTCGGCTATAGTGATCGCTCAGCGGGGATTATATCACATAACGATACAATCATCTCTCCTGTCCCCGGTTTTCCCCAAACTCACTTCACACCCAGTACCATTTCCCGTCTCTACTGTCAGGAAGTCAGCCCCACTGTTCGTCATGCAAATAGGTGTTTCAGTGAATAATTGGCTCCTCATTATCTGTCATTACAATTTAGAGCGAGTGACCCCCTAGGGTAGATCGTGTATGCATGAGTTTCTTGAGCCAGTTACCGTGTGCTGGCAATACCGTCTAACAACCTGCCCCTCCCCCACCCACCAGTCCTGTTGATTGATGCGTGTGTATTGTCAACACGTATACACAAGCACACCCACGAGTATTTACAAGCGCAGAGACCTGAAGAGCAACATTAACGTAACTATCAATGTTCACACACACACACACACAGCTTCAATACACTGTACCATAAAACTTTAAGCAAGAGAACACAGTAACTAGAAATTCTTAGTTTAGTGTTTTCTCTTTATTGCATTGGTGACTTTTATTCCATTATGAAATATATTTATTCTGATGAACCTTTACAATCTCATACTCAACTAAGGTTAACATTACTTTAGTGTAATAATGTACAGTATTACGGGGCATTGTTAGCTGACCTTGAACTGTTTACCCTCACTGCCAACCACCAAGGTGACGTCAGAATGTGTGCCACTCGCCAGTAGGAAGCCAAGTGCCTGCCCCGTGGAGCGTAGGGAGTCCTGCCACGGGCGGAGGGGCGTGAGTGAGGCTCCTGACTGGGCAGACATGCTGCTGCAGGGGGATTCTTAGGGTAGGAGGGGTTGACAGGAGTGGTGGTGAACTAGGATTAAAAGTTGAGCTGGGTTGGGGTAGAGGGTGGATTAACACGGAACAACATTCTTCCTTTTTGGACTGGTGGCTGTGGTGGGGGTAGAATGGAAGAAGAATAGGGGGGGGAGAAGAATATTGGGTAGGGTCACTGGTGGATAAAAGTAGCGTGACAAGCAATGGTAAAGTGGAGGTGGTGGTGGTAGGCTTCTTTCACAGTGTGTCGTATAGAGAGAGGTGATGGGGTGAAGGCGACCGGCTCTTTGGTTGAATGGTCTAGTAACACGACACGGTCTCTTGACTGACTGGACAGGTGGAGGTCTTCCTGATCGGTCGATTGACTTTTTGACTTTGTAGGCGAATGTTTGACTGGGATGTTGCTTAGCTGGGTATTGTTCGAGCGATTTATTTCAGCAGCTAAATGACTGACTGTTTGACACAGACTGTTTTGGCTGTTTTTTACTGAGTCCAGACTGACTATTTGCTGCAGTCTAACTGGGCGGGTACCTGTGGCTGCTTTGGCTTATGGCTACCAGTCTGAAAAGAGAATAGACATTAGACAAAATATATAATTGAATGTGTATGATACGTAGAATAGTACTAATATGTGTAGCTATAAAGATATACAGTATATAACAAGAAAATAATGAAACTAATTATAATGTTTTTGATCCATAATCTTAGATGTGATGAAGGCAGTTTTAATCAACAGTAATGGAGGCTGTCAGTGAAAAGGTTGACTGTAACGGAGACATGTTCAAGTAGTAGAACTTGAAGTATATTCAAAGGACGGGCAGAAGGATGACTCAGACATATAATGGTGGTCGTAAAGATATGTTACGACCCCAGTGCCTGTGACAAATTAAATAGAGGTAATTGAGTCCGACCTTCCGAGCCGTGCCTTGAAATGATAAAATCAACACGTGTCTCCAGGTGCATCTCTCTCTCTCTCTCTCTCTCTCTCTCTCTCAAAGCAGTAACCAGGAGTCACCATCAAGAGCACCAAACTCTTCCCCACAATAACCTGCACCGTCTGTCTCCCATACCAAATAACACCTCCCCCCCCCCCATTCCTCCACTTCATTTACACCATTCTCTCATTATCTCTATTCGCTTCTTTATTGACTACATTTCCTGACTTCCTCCTCCGCTTCTTCTATTCTTCGTACGACGTTCTCACACATTTACTCCAGTGTTGTTGAGGTACAGTTTTTGTTTGTAAGTTTTATTCATCTACCTTCTGTTACTCTACGTTATTTATTGAAGCTCGTTATTGTTATTCTTAGCTACACTCTTCCTTCCTTCCTTCCTTCCTTCCTCAGCCACAGACCTTTCCTCTATGAGTCTATGTCAAACTTTCCCTTCATCGTTCCCTCCCTCAGCCATCCTTATACATATTTAAACAACAAATAAAAACCACAAGCTGTCAACACCCCTACCTCCCTCCTCCACCGTAGCTCTACAGCCCTAAGGCCCTACACCCGGCCCTACACCCGGCCCTACACCCGGCCCTACACCTCTAAGGCCCTACACCCGGCCCTATACCTCTAAGGCCCTACACCCGGCTCTACGCACACGGAGAGATACGTTATCTTTTCTGAGTCCCTGAATTATATATGAAGATGGAGCAGAGTTGATTTTTTTGGAGAGTGTCAGGCATTATTTAACGCCCCAACTTATAATTACTTTGGATAGCTGGTTACAAAGGCCCTCTTTTAGTAGCCTTTTCATGTGTTTTTTTTTATGAGTTGGCTTCTTGATCGCGGTCGTCTGTGTAATAGCATACGTGTTTAAGAGGCAAGTGTGAATACCCCTTTACGCACGCCTACTTATTCAGAAATGCCTTAAATTTGAAATATGTATAAATGAGCTAGTACATCACGCACGCACGCACTCACGCACGCACTCTCGCACGCACGTACACACACACACACACACACACACACATACACACACGTGCGAAATGGTTTGACTGTGTTTTATTGGCCTGATCATATAAATTAATCTTTATATTGTATAATACCACAGTTTAATTTAAATATCTATATTGTGTTCACTTACGGTGTGTTAAGTAAAATTTCTCTTATATTTGTAAATACAATCATTACGACCTATTTTCCTTTATTCGAATCAATGAAATACTGAAATGTAAATAATGCGCGTTACCAGAATATTTCATCACTGACGTATCACAGCGTTTGACCTTTCCAGTTCGTGTTCCTCATCTAGTCAGACGTGTTTCACCGAGAGGTTGTCACACCTTAATGAGTCGTATGGTTAAATGAATCATGTGTGTCATTAAAACGTATCTATTTAAATTTAATGCGATAAGGAAAATATAACATTCTATCAGCACTTACAGTTTGTAAATGTTTTATTTTAAGTTTTTAAATGATATAAAATGTAATCAGCCGTGATATAATGATTTTCTGTCTGGCACACGTTTGAGTGAGTCGAAGTATAATGTTGACGAAATTAATATTTTTGAAGGAGTTTGTATTCCACTTTATCATGAACGGTGAGTGTACAGATCATCTGTGTTCTGCTGCCGTGTTAGAACACCAGGTCAGTGTTTATGTAACCGGAAGAGACATTGTAAATGTTGTTCACATCATATCAAAGATATGTATATAAATATGCTACGGTTTTTTGCGAAATCGGCTACTTTGCAAAATTCCCGGCATGCATATTGGTAATTTGGCGAAATAACTTACAAACAAACTAACCCAAGTTAAAAAAAAGAACAGGACCACTTAACTTGTATCGGTCTACACGAGCCATCCTAACCTAACCTAACCTAACCTCTCACTTAACCTAACCATAAGGTTAGGTTAGTTTAGGTTGTCTGTTTGTTAAGTTATTTCGCAAAATTACCAATATGCATGCCGGGAATTTTGCAAAATAACAGATTCCGTAAAGAAAATCGTAACATATATACATCATAATGCTTTACTTCTCGAAGGACAAGCTTATTGCTGCTATTCATCGTTAAGATTTATATAATTTCCTCTGTTGTATCGTGTTCATTCAATTACACCTACACATAGGCATTTAACAGTTTAATTTCAACTTAATCCTTCACTAACTTTAGGCGGTAATTGTCTATTAATTACCTGGAATAGTTACAGCAATTTAGATGGAAAGTGATTCACTTGTATTATAATCACCTCCGAATCTGGTTTGTGACTCAACTTCGCCTTGTTTAAAACTTTTATTCCCGGGTTAATAGCATGTCATTAGTCTCGTTCTGATTCGCGCCGTGTTCAGAACCCGCGTTAAAGCTGCGTCGCATTCGGAACGTTTATTGAACCCTGAGGCTATTCTGAAACCCAGTTCATGGATGCCTGATCATTATATGAACAGCAAAATATGTTCTGAAATTGGAATAAATGTGAGGTTTGGTGTGCAAGTGTATTTGGTTCTGACGTATTTTTCGCTTTGTATTCAACTCGAAAAAGGCTTCAAAAGTCAAAGGGAATTGGATGGTGCTCCGGACTGTGGTGAAGTAGGAGGATATTCTGAATTTACGTCGAAATTAGTGAATTACAATAACATATAGTCGTGACGAGAGATTCAAACTAATACAGAACTCAGACTTATACACAACTGCAACTTGATCTTGTCTGTGAATAGAATGATTGTCAAAGGCTTCTCTACTCACCGAGATATGTATGATAATGCTTAGTGTGATGTACTTATTAGTAATATACGTATAGATTATTAGAGTTTTATGTATATATTAAAGATCCACAATGGTGACGTTGAGAAGATATATCGTGATAAAAACTCAGTGTTTCGTTTTTCCAATCTCTATTGCTTGGTTTGCTGGCTGTTTTCAGACTCTTGCGCTTCTTCCTCACAAAGCATATGCTATCTATGTCCAGCCTAGGTTGTGTTTTCTTTAATTTTTGTTATCTCTGCAAAAGTTCATTTTCCATCAACAGTAATAGTGAGCAGAATGAGAGTTTACTAGTGAAGCTACACCCAGTCTTAACCCTCACGTGTCAGTGTAACATATGCTAAGGTTTAACATTACCACTTTAATGAATTTTGTGATTTGTGTTGCCTTAGTCAATAGTAAATACGAAAAACCGAAGTGAATTGTTATTTATGTTCTTTAGAATTTCCTTTTAGCAAAACTTGTTCCACCCAACACCAGTATTCTGGGAACTCTGCCTCTGAAAGATTGCCATATGTGATATAACCTCCATCAGTTAGAGTCGTCCTTCTACCGATATCTTCAGTCTTTGTTAAGGTGGCGCCTCGGTGAATGAATTAGACAACGATCTCTCCCTGTGCTCTTATCTGTCAAGAAACATGTAATAATGTATCTCGGTGCGACCAGTGACTTTCAACACCGTTCTCTAACTCTTTATTTCTGCACTAGAGAACAATATTGTGAAATTAACAGAGAAATCCCCGTGTTCAACAACTAGTGAGCTGTCATAGTAGAGGTCCAGCGTGGAGACAGGGACAGTTAACATGAGGTGTAAACTTAAGTAGGTGCTGTATAGGTTAAGTGGTCAAAGACTTAGGTTAAATATTTGTTAATGCCATCGACAGTAATAACGACTACGGTTACAACGACTAAAACTATTACAAGAACAACTACAATGTCTGCCTTGATTACGACGTGATTGATGATAACAATTACAGCGACTCTGGGGCTTATGAAACACACACACACACACACACACACACACACACACACACAAACAAACAAACACAGCTTCAGGGTGGGGATGAAGCTCGTCAGTATAATCCCACTCTGAATAGCTCTTCCTTTTTGTGCTATTACAACCGGGCGCTTCAGAGAGCATACTGAAGGGTTGTTTTTCCTGTGTCTGCCGGGAGTCAGGGGAGGGGGGAAAACATACGTATTCCCTGCACAGGATAATTTAATTTCATATCAAGGTAGAGCCTGTGTATACCTCAGGCATCAAAACACGATAACAACTTATCAAAGAGAAGCGATCTCGAAATTTTTTTTAATCATTATATTGTACTGGAGTTTGAGGACAGTGAGCGTTTGTATGTATGTAAAGAGATACACACACACACACACACACACACACACACACACACACACACACACACAACACACACACACACACACACACACGCACACACACACACACCAAATTTATTTCTGTAGCAGTTTGTCGCCGCGTGGTTGATTCGTGTCGACACAAACGGGGGAAAAAATATGTTTGTCGACACTAACAGCTGTACAGTACGTCGGAAACTCTGGGCGTAAATTTAGTCGTATATGGACAGGTGCCGCTGTCATGACTAACTGCCCCCCTCTCTCTCCCCCTCTCCCTCTCCTCCCGTATTTATCTTCTGTTAATACTGTATGAGACGCAACATAATCGGTATCTGATGCTCCCCCCCCCCTTCCGATTATGGTATTGCCTATGTAGTGAATCAAGACAAAAACAAATTAATTCTAGTTGAAGTAACATAACAACTGCTGGATTACCGTAGAGGGATAAACGAGTAAAGAGGAGGCAGTGAAGAAATAAATAATTATATTA